CAGGAGTTTTCAACGATATCTCAAACTCTGAGTGCTGGATTCCGGGATCTGAGCTAATAGTAACTTTTCAGAATTGAATTCTTTGTCCAGAAGAATTTTATATCACAGTATTTATGTGATGGACAGCTTAACAGCACTAAATCGAACCAAAACAATGACCACATCCTCGGGGAATCTTGGAAATCTCGTTATGGATGATTTGTCCAATTGGATTTTGACCAACTGTGTTTCATAGTCCAATTTTTCAACTACGCAGCTAGCAACATTTCTAACTCTTTTGATTTGTGCTGCACCGCTCTGATAATGGCCCTAACTTCCACTTCCACCTTATCTCCTGAGGAAATTACAAGCTGAACAGTTCACTTTACTTAAACAGTTTTTACCTGGCACTGAAAATAGATTCTGATTCACCGCTGAATCATATTTGGGATGTACCCTAGTAGCGTAATCATGCCACTTTTTTCTTCATTTTATAGACAGCCAAAGCACTTTTTAGTTACAATTTTATGAAAACTTAAATATCGTTCAAAATTCGTACTATAGTAACAAACACTGAGTAATGAAAATCGGAAAGGGCAACGAACAACTATAGTATTACAGATAATTGGTGCATTATTTATGCCGCTCTTGAACGGACAATTTGATTTTTTCAATGGGATCTACTGGTCATTTTTGTGTTTTACCGCTATCGAGTATGGCGAACTCATCCCAATCAAGTGAGTTTTACAAATGCCTATTGCATGGAAAAGTCAAAAATCACCCAATGAGGCACAGAACATTTGCTGATTGTGAATGAATCCACCGTAATTAATCATCCTGCGATTTTTTGGTTAAAAAAAATTGGGCAGTATTTTCGCGGAATACAACTTAAATATTATTTCAGCTTACTGCTTTTACCAGTTGCAGTTGGTTACATCTGCTTGGGGCTTGCAATATCTACTATTGCACTTGGTAAGATGTTTTTCGGATTTTCAAAATCCACTTTAAGATATCCATGCGATCAGCACAAAAAAGCTTGCTGACACGGAAAAAAAAGCAGATTTTGAGCCTAAAAATTAAAATCTCAACTAAGAAATATGATTTCCAATGGTATAGGTCATTTTGCAAAAAATCACAATCTCCTCCTGAAAATATGCATGGAATGCTTAGTTCAACTGAAATTCTTAGTTTAGTACTTCGACTGTGCGAACAGTAAATTTTCCACTTGCTTTGACCAACGGTGAGCGAGAATTTGATTAGTAGAGAAATATATTAACAAATCGCTAGCGAAAAACGATACACGAGCGCTTCGTCCGTACTGAAACGGGACTTTCGCAGATGGTTTCATAGCAATAAAGCACAAGAAATTTAAGAAACTGCATTTCTTGAGAAAAATTATTTGTAAAATTACTTTTTATTTTGAGACGTTGGATCCGGATATGTTCGTCGGCTTCATTTTATCGGAAGGAAACTACGACATTTGGCACATATCAATATATGGTTTGGTAGTAAAAAGTATGATCTGATCATTTTATCAAATCATTTTTATCATAATTTATGCTTGAAATTGCTACAGTTCATAGTCTGATTCCCTAGCCGCGCACTTTTTCCGTTTGCTTTAACCAGTGGTTAGCCTGCTGGTGATCCTGAAATTTGCTTCATCTCCTGAAGAGACCGCCAGCTTAACGATTCTATTGATGAAGGCATGTTGCAAGGTTTTAGCCATTTTGGATTGTCCTTGGTGTGCTTAGTCAATTACTACATTAAAATGTTGCTTTTACCAGACCACGATGAAATGTTTTACCCACTAGAACGCACAGTGAGATCTGCTTTGACATGCCCATTTTCAATATATCAAGGATGCCAAGTTCGCTCGGGCAATCGATCTGGATATCTCATGTCAGTAATGTTACTGGAATGTTCCCACACGCCAAGCGCAGCTATGTCAGGCCATTCGACTCCGGGCAGTGCACCTTTAGTTAGCATCCAC